GCAGCACAGAAAAAAGTTTAATTATATGGTGCTGAATGAGGAGACATAAGGCAAACTTCAACTCTTTCTCCCTGAGGAGTTTGGGGATAATTATTAAGGGTTTTGAAGTGGGCCAAAGTGTGGACATCGTTGATTGGTAGAAGACTGCAGGAAGATGTCACAGACAGGGAGATAAAAAACTGCGTTCTCGGCCAGTTGTGGTAATTCATGCCTGTGATCCAGCACTTTGGTAGGCCAAGGCAGGCGGTCAGGAGCTCCAGACCAGCCTAGCTAACATGGTGAAACCCCGTCACTACCAAAAATACAAAAATTAGCTGGGCGTGGTGGCTTCTGCCTGTAATCCCAGCTACTCAGGAGGCTGAGGCAGGAGAATGGCTTGAACTTGGGAGGTGGGGGTTGCAGTGAGCCAAGATTGCACCACTGCCCTCTAGTCTGGGTGACAGAGCGAGACTCTGTCTCAAAAAATTAAAAGAAAATAAAAGAAACTGTATTCTCATGCTTATTTGGTTCCTCAGTAGGGGGGATCTTCAAATTGGTAGGCATAGGTGGTTTCATTGGAATTTGGAATCTGGAAAACATCTTAAGCGATTCTTAAGCAAAGGCCTTATGATTCTAATGTTGGAGATCCTATCCATCTTAAACAAAAGTCTTATGCTCCTAACCTCAGAAATCCTATCTGTAAGAACAAAGGGGATGCAAATGGTCAGTATCTAGTGATTAATGCATAATTATTGTAACTATACATCTGTCCAGACCTTTCTTTTTCTTCAGAGACAGGGCCTCATTCTGTCACCCAGGCTGGATGCAGTGGTGCACTCATAGCTCACTGTAGCCTTGACCTTCTAGGCTCAAGTGATCTCTTGCCTCAGTCTCCCAATTAGCTGGGACTACAGGCACACACCACTGTGCCCAGCTATTTTTTTTTTTCAGTTTTTGTAGAGATGATTGTCTCTACAAAAATGCCCAGGCTGGTCTTGAACTCCTGGCTTCAAATACTTGGCCTCCAATGTTAGTGTTACAGGGAGGAGCCACCATGCCTAGCCCAGAATTATTCTTAACCTTGCGAGGACAGCTTCATTTATGTTCATTTAAATGTACAGGAAGTTACTGAGTGAGACACTGTGCAAGTGCTGGAGAGGGTGTGATGGCTCACGCCTGTAATCCCAGTGCTTTGAGAGGCCGAGGCAGGCAAATCAGTTGAGGTCAGGAGTTTGAGACTAGCCTAGCCAACGTGGTGAAACCCTGTCTCTACTAAAAATATAAAAATTAGCAGAGAATGGTGGCATGTGCCTATAATCCCAGCTACTCAGGAGGACTTGCTTAAACCAAGGATAGCTTGAACCAAGGAGGCAAAGGTTGCAGTGAGCCAAGATCGCGCCACTGCATTCCAGCCTGGGCGACAGAGCGAGACTCCGTCTCAAAAAACAAACAAACTTAAAAAAAACTAGGGAGTTTGCAGTCTATCTGACATATTTTTCCCTTGGCTGTCAACTTACTGCTTAATTATGCCTGTAGACTACTGCATGATTGAAAAAGCACTTTTTTTTCTTTCTTTCCTTTTTTTTGAGACAGCATCTCACTCTACTGCACAGGCTGGAATGCAGTGGTGCAACCTCACCTCCCAGGTTCAAGCGATTCTCCTGCCTCAGCCTCCCAAGTAGCTGGGACTATGGGCTTCCGCCACCACACCCAACTAATTTTTGTATTTTTAGTAGAGATGAGGTTTCACCATGTTGGCCAGACTGGTCTCAAACTCCTGATCTCAAGTGTTCCACCTGCCTCTGCCTCCCAAAGTGCTCGGATTACAGGCATGAGCCACCATCATCAGTATAACCCCATCTCTACATAAAATGCAAAAATTAGCTGGATGTGGTGGTGTGCACCTATAGTCCTCACTACTCAGAAGGCTAAATGGAAGGATGGCTTAAGTGCAGGAGGTGAAGGTTGCAGTGAGCCAAGATTGTGCCACTGCACTCCAACTTCAGCAACAGAGCCAGACCCTGTCTCGAAAAAAAAATGCCTTGAGACTCATTAATTCTTATACTTACCCCGTGAACTTTTGTGACGTTTCCTTTCCCCTTGCTTAAAGCCAAGTCCCCAGATGACAAAGTAATTAGATCAAAGTTCAGAATGGCAAAGAGAGATAAGATAATGGAAAAGAACCTCATCCTACTTTAAAAGAGTTATTTTGGTCTTTCAACTAAAATGATTTTTTTCTGTTGAAAGAGATTTGGCTGAAGTGTCCGGCTCAGCTAATGGCAGAAAATCAACAAAATATGAAGAGCTCCATAACACTGTGGCCTAACCCAATGTATGTAGTTATTATATAATCAATGGCAAAACCGAAGGGAATCTAAAACCATATATACCTTACTTTGGGAATGCAATAACCTTTATTTTGTTTTCTCTGCAGAGGTAAAATCTTGTTTTGATGCTTATTTCAATTAGTTTTCATTTCTTATGCACAGACTAAAAGTGGTAAGACAGCATGGTCGCAGGCATGCTCACCAAATTGCACCAGTGCACTCCAACCTGGGTGACAAAGCACAACTCCATCTCAACAATAACAACAACAACACACTAAAACTTGTGCTTGAGATATTTTGCAGACCCTGCACTTGATGGATTCGCTAGCATCACCCAGATCAATAAACTGGCTCATCTGGTCTTGTGGCCCCCACCCAGGAACTGACTTAGTGCAAGAGGACAGCTTCCACTCCCTATGATTTCATCTCCAACCTGATCAATCAGCACTCCACACTTTCGGATCCCCTACCCATCAAATTATCCTTAAAAAACCCGATCCCTGCTGGGCACAGTGGCTCATGCCTATAATCCCAGCACTTTGGGAGGCCATGGTGGGCAGATCATGAGGTCAGGAGTTCAAGACCAGCCTGACCAACGTGGTGAAACCCCTTTTTTACTAAAAAAACAAAAATTAGCTGGGTGTCGTGGCACGTGCCTGTAATCCCAGCTACTCAGGAGACTGAGGCAGGAGAATTGCTTGAACCCAGGAGGGGGAGGTTGTGGTGAGCCAAGACTGCACCACTGCACTCCAGCCTGGGTGACAGATCGAGACTTCGTCTCAAAAAAGAAATAAAAAACACCCAAACCCGATCACTGAGTTTAGGGTGACTGATGTGAGCAATCATAAAAGTATGGTTTTCCATGTAGCCAGTTCTGCATCCATTAAACTCTTTTATCTATTGCAATTCCCATGCCTTGATAAATCGGCTCTGTCTAGGCAGTGTGCAAGAAGAACCCATTGGGTGGTTACACTTATATGGCAAAGAAAGTCACCATCGACTTCAGAAATTTACATCAGAAGCCCACAGAGAGATAAGCCTCATTTCAGAAAAACCACAGCAGAATAAATAAGAGTTAACTTATACCCAGACTTCTTTTTCAAGCAAAGGTGACACTAGAAAAGGCATGAAAAAGCCATGTTTCTGAGACTTCCTGGAGGGTATAAGGTTGAGTGGGGTGTGAACGGGGAGAGGGGAACAGGAGAGATGGGTTGTGACTTATTTATTCATGCATATAACAATGATTTTTGAGTACTCATATGTGAGTCACTGAGTTGGGGTCTGAAATACCAGCAGAAAAAGAGAAACAGGGCCTTTGCCTTTGAGATACTTACAGTTTGGTGGGAAGAGCAGAAAGGACAGAGGAGTTTAGAGTAATCTGGGTAAACAGGAAAGTGGGCATTCCTGCAAGGGACAACTAACTCATTTTAGACACGTCAGAGAAGGTTCCTGGAGGAAGAATTTGCTCAAGCAGAGATACAAGGATCATAAAGATCAAAGAAGAGGAGAGAAGAGTGTTTGTAAGGGAAGAAACTGCATGGGGGGAAAAGCTCGGAATTGAAAGAAGGCAAGCATGAAGTATTTAAGGAAAAGAAAGGCTGGGCGTGTTGGCTCACGCCTGTAATCCCAACACTTTGGGAGGCTGAGGCAGGCGGATCACCTCAGGTCAGGAGCTCAAGACCAGCCTGAGCAATGTGGTGAAACCCCCCGTCTCTACTAAAAATACAAAAATTATCTGGGCATGGTGGCAGGCACCTGTAATCCCAGCTACTCAGGAGGCTGAGGCAGAAGAATCACTTGAACCCAGGAGGCAGAGGTTGCAATGAGCCGAGTACCACTGCACTCCAGCCTGGGCAACAGAGTAAGACTCCAAAAAAAAAAGGAAAAGAAAGTAGTGTATAGGTAAAGTATTTATCTTAAGTCCAGGACTCCTAATTTATGGGTTATTATTATAATGTAGGCATCTACAGGAGGCTATGAGTATACATTACTCTTTCAAGAAAACGGTGAAATGGAAAAAAAAAAAAAAGAAAGAAAATGGTTAAATGGGAAAATAGTCCCCAGTCTTGCTAAAGTTTATGGGAAGCCATTGTTTTGGTCTGACCTCCTGCACTAGGCTCCAGCAGGCCAGACCAAATCAGAACGGAGTTACTTGTGCTAAGTGCCACGTAATCAAACTGAACTTTGAATCAAAGTCATTTTCCGGAAAACAGGAGATTCCAGGGAATCTGAGTAAATGTAATAAGGAAGTCTCCTCTGTTTTAACCCTACAAAGAAAGTAACTTTGAAATGACCAATTTGCAGGGTTGGTGCGGTGGCTCATGTCTGTAATCCCAGCACTTTGGGAGGCCCAGGCGGGCAGATCACTTGAGGTCAGGAGTTCAAGACCAGTCTGGCCAAAATGGCAAAACCTTGTCTCTACTAGAAGTACAAAAATTAGCCCAGCATGGTGGTGCTCGCCTGTGATCCAGGTACTAGGATGGCACTAGGCCAACATTTAAATTTTTGAATATTTTTTCTGTTCTCTTTTTTTACCAAGCACATTTATCAACAAGCCTCCTCAAGAAATCCTGTAATCCAAGCACTTTGGAAGCCAAGGCGGGCTGATCACCTGAGGTCGGGAGTTCAAGGCCAGCCTGACCAACATGGTGAAACCCCGTCTTAAAGAAGAAAAAAAAAGAAAGAAAGAAAGAAAGAAATTGCCCAAAATAGCCACAGGTGGCAAGCTTCACTGACAGGCCAAAAGCCCTCAGTCAACATGGCCGCGACGGGCTTCCATTGCCCTTCTCTGCCAGCAGTAAGGATGGCTCCGGTGACTTCCTTTTAACCTCGCATTTCCCATAACAAAGATGGCGCCTTTGCTTCCACGTTCCGGTTGTGGACGGTGAGTGTCTCGTGGCTTGGCGTCTTTTCTCGTCAGTTTTCTCTGTCGTTTCCGGAGTGCTTTGGAGCGAGGTAAGGGATGGGTAGGTCGGGAGGGTCACAGCAATGCATCTGATTGTTCTCTCTCAATTAGGAAGTTATGGAGGCTTTCCTTGGCATGTCAGGATTTCCTACCAGCTCCCCGCCCCTTCCGCCCCAACATGCGGTCTCTGAAGCCTTGTGGGTAGTGAGTTTGGATAAGCTTCGCTTCTTTTTTTTTTTTCCAATTATTATTATTATTTATTTTTTTCAGTGACCTGCCACTTCAGGAGGTTCTGCCAAAAAGAAAAGCAAAACAAACCAAAAAACAGCTTTCTTGATAAATGTCTATTCACATACCATGTAAAATTTGCACCTTTAAAGCTAAAAAATTAAAGCCAGGCATAGTGGCATTCGCTTGTAGTCCCAGCGGCTCAGGACCGTGAATTCCAGGCTGCAGTGAGCTGACATGCACCACTGCACTCCAGCCTGGGAGACAGAGCAAGACAACGGACCTAAACATAAACAAAATAAGGTGTAACATTAAGGGTTTGTTGCTGTTGTTGTTGTTGTTGTTGACAGAACTGTGCATCTATTACTGTGATCTAATTTTAGAATATTTTCATCACTCCAAAGAAAAATCCTGCATTCAGTAGCAGTCACTCTGTATTCACCACGTCCTCTCTGCCCCAAGTCCTAGACAACTGCTAGCATACTTTCTGTCTGTATAGCCTTGCCAATTCGCACGTTTGATATAAATGAAATCATACAGCGTGACTGGTTTCTTTTATTAAGTATAATGTCAACGATTTGGTGACTAGCTTCTTTTGTGACTTTTTTTTTTTTTGAAACTGAGTCTCACGAATCTCACTCTGTTGCCCAGGCTGGAGTACAGTGGCACAATCTCGGCTCACTGCAACCTCTGCCACCCAGGTTCAAGCTAGTCTTCTGTCTCAGCTTCCTGAGTAGCTGGGATTACAGGAGCCTGCCACCACATCTGGCTAATTTTTGTATTTTTAGTAGAGATGGGGTTTCACCACCTGGGCCAGGCTGGTCTTGAAGTCCTCAGCTGGTGATCAACCTGCCTCGGCCTTCCAAAGTGCTGGGATTACAGGCATGAGCCAGCACTCCATCTTCTTATACTATGTATAATATTTTCAAAGCTTGTCTTTGTAGCATGTGTCTGACTGTTAGCAGAGAAACCAAACTCTGTAAACTATTTTAAAGAGGTTTATTCTGAGCCAGTATGAGTGACCATGGCCCGGAGAGAAAACACAAAACCAAAAAGCCTTAGTAAATGATCCTGAGACAGTTGGGTTTTTTTACATTTTAGGGAGACAGGAGTTACAGACAAAGACACAAATCAGTACATGGAAGGCATACATTGGTTAGACCCAAAAAGGCAGATATCTCAAAGAGTGGTCTTAGGTGGATTTTATGGATTCTTTAGCTGACAATTGCTTGAGAATTAAGCTTTTTCTAAAGACTTGAAGTCAGTAGAAAAGAATGCTTGAACTAAGATAATAAGGGAGTTGTGGGGTTCAAGGTCCTGGTTCCATAGATGAAACTTCGTGAGTGGCAGCCTCAGAGAATAAATGGGCTGGGCACTGTGGCTCACGCCTGTAATCCCAACACTCTGTGAGGCCAAGGTAGATGGATCACTTGAGGTCAGGAGTTTGAGATCAGCCTGACCAAAATGTTGAAACACTATCTCTACTAAAAATACAAAAATTAGCCGGATGTGGTGGCATGTGCCTGTAACCCCAGCTACTTGGGAGGCTGAGGCACAAGAATTGCTTGAACCCAGGATATGGAGGTCATAGTGAGCCAAGATCATGTCACTGCACTCCAGCCTGGGTGACAGAGTGAGACTTCATCTCAAAAAAAAAGGAGAGAGAGAGAATAGATGGTACTTTGTCGCCACGTGTCTCTTTTTGGAAATTTAAAATTTAAGTGTCAGAATCAATCTTTCCTAAATCTGGGAAAGGCCTAGAAAAGGAAATTCTGGCTGCATTAAAGGAGATTCTCTACAGATGCAAATTTCTGTTACGAAAGACAGTTTTATAGGGCCATTTCGAAATACGTCAAGGAAATATATTTTGGGATAATTTTTTTTTTTTTTGAGACAGAGTCTTGCTCTGTCACCCAAACTGGAGTGTAGCATGATCTCAGCTCACTGCAACCTCCACCTCCTGGGTTCAAGCGGTTCTCCTACCTCAGTCTCCAGAGCTGCTGGAATTACAGGTGTGCACCACCACACCTACTTTTTGTATTTTGTTTGTTTGTTTGTTTTTGAGTTGGATTCTTCTAAGGTAGAAGAATTCTTCTGCCTTAACCTCCCAAATAGCTGGGACTGCAGGCGTGCGCCACCATGCCTGGCTAATTTTTTTGTATTTTTAGTAGAGACAGGGTTTCACCATATTGGGCAGGTTGGTCTTGAACTCCTGACCTTGTGATCTGCCTGCCTCAGCCTCCCAGAGTGCTGGGATTATAGGTGTGAGCCACTGCACCAGGCCACGTAATTAAATCACCCATAAGAGAGGAAAATAAGCACTTCTGGAGAAGGAAGTTGAACCACATTGTCAAAAGGTTTGGGACAAAGGATAATCATTGCATCTGCTTGGATCAGACCACAAGAAGGGTTTAATCTGCCTCCATTGCTTGTTTTTTACTTCTGTACAAATTCACTGAGTCCCAAATAATGTATTTACTATTTTTTTTAGTAGAGACGGGGTTTCACCATGTTGGCCAGGCTCGTCTCAAACTCCTGACCTCAGGCGATCCACCTGCCTGGCCCCCCAAAGTGCTGGGGTTATAGGTGTCAGCCACTGCACCTGGCCATTTTTTAATTTAAGAGAGAGAGTCTTGCCGCGTCATCCAGGCTGGAATGCAGTGGCGCAATATCAGCTCAATGCAACCTCTGCCTCCCCGGTTCAAGTGACTCTCCTGCCTCAGCCTCCCAAGTAACTGGGACTACAGGTGTGTACTATGGCACCCAGCTAATTTTTTATTTTTTATTTTTAGTGGAGATGGGGTTTCACCATGTTTGCCAGGCTGGTCTCAAACTCCTGACCTCATGCAATCCACCCACCTTGGGCTCCCAAAGTGCCTGGGACAGCTCCTCTGTGCCTGGTCGACGTGTTTTCTTTTTGTGGTCCAGTTCCCAGCTCGTGAGGTATTTGGTATTTAAGTTATTCTGAAAACAAAGAAAGATATGTATCACATCAATGTGCTATTTGTTTTCAGAAAGGATTCTATTCATTTCATATCACTGATGATACCCTCAGTTGATGGTGGATTTCTTTTTTTTTTTTTAATACATACATATATATATATATATATTTTTTTTTTTTTTTTTTTTTTTAAAGATGGGGTTTCACCATGATGGCTAGGCTGGTCTTGAACTCCTGACCTCAGGTGATCCACTCACCTTAGCCTCCCAAAGTGCTAGGATTACAGGCGTGAGCCACCGTGCCGGGCCTGTTGATGGTGGATTTCAAGGCGCCTTTGCAGGCAGGCAGGATATGCCAGCATCATTCACTGACCTGTTTGTTCCCTTCCAGAAGCCTCCAGAGCAGAATGTTAGGTAACATGAAGGGAGAAGGGGGAGACAAAGTTGCCTGGTGCAGAGCTGTTTGCTGAAGCTTCAGGCTTGGTTGGCTAATACAGAACCTGTGAAAAGACAGGATGTTCTTGCTTCTTTAGGAACCTGGATCACTCCACTCCTTTCAGGAGCAATCAGCTGATAGCTTGGCTCACTCTCGGCCTGAGCGAATGTGCACAACAGCATGTGACTGGGTGTCCTCAAACAAAAAGGTCCTGCCAGGTCTCACTGTTGATTTGTTTTTATATACTTCCTATATTTGCCTAATCACGTGGTAGTTTAGGCTGCAGCACTGGGGCTCTGCAGACACAGGAGCCTGGAAGGCCACTGTGATACCACAACAGTGGTATCTCAATCTGATAACTGAGAAGGCTACTGAATGACTAAGGGGCAGGTAGCATGTACAGTTCAAATATGCTGGACAGAAGGGTAATGAATGTCCCAGGTGGGATGGAGCGGGACAGCACGAGATTTCATCACAATACGCAGAATGGTGCACAATTTAAAACTTATCGTTTATTTCTGGAGTTTTCTATTTAATATTTTTGAATCATGGTTGAGTGAGATTAACAGAAACTGCAGAGAGCAAAGTCGCAGATAAGGGGGGACTACTCTCAGTCATTCTGATTTCACTGTTGTTTGACCTTTAAAATTATTGGCCAGGCATGGTGGCTCACACCTGTAATCCCAGCACTTTGGGAGGCCAAGGCAGGTGGATCACAAGATAAGGAGATTGAGACCAGCCTGACCAACATGGTGAAACCCTGTCTCTACTAAAAATACAAAAATTAGTCAGGCATGGTGGTAGGTGCCTGTAATCCCAGCTACTTGGGAGGCTGAGGCAGGAGAATTGTTTGAACCCGGGAGGCGGAGGCTGCAGTGAGCCGAGATCACACCACTGTACTTCAGCCTGGCAACAGAGTGAGACTATGTCTCAAAAATAAATAAATAAATAAGTAAAAATAAAATTATCTGGGTGGGTACAGTGGCTCACGCCCATAATCCCAGCACTCTGGGAGGCTGAGATGGGAGGATTGCTTGAGCCCAGGAGTTCAAGACCAGCTTGGGCAATATGGTGAGACCTGATCTCTACAAAAATAAATAAATAAATAAAAGTAGGAAACAAATAAAATGATTCAAGCTCTGGCTCTAATGAAGGATCCTGCTATGTGATGCCTTTTGTATTGCATTGTTCTATTTCTTCCATGGCAGGACTATGGCAGCTGAGGATGCCACTTCAGGCAGTGTGTCAGAGGAGAGCAGTGCTTTGGACCTGCCATCTGCATGTGACATAAGAGATTATGTCCTGCAGAGACCCAGCCAAGACACCAACAGTGAGGCTTTCAGTTCTGTGGAATTCCATTCTTTTCCTTGCTCTTCTGATGTGGATCCAGGTAATAAGCAGAGTTTAAAACAAACTAACTTAAAAACAACCAGCAAATATACGGGTGTGTGATAGTTTGTTTCTCTCTCTTCCAATAGCAGATCTCTGAGAATGTTTCATTGTCTTAGGCAGAAAAACATCTTCTCTAAGCAAAACTGTCAGGAGGGACTTCAAAGGACAGCTTCCCTGGCAGAGCAATGACAGGGAGCTGTTTCCTGGATCTCTTTTTGTTGTTGCTGTTAATCTCAGGTCCCTTTCTAGTCTCCCTCAGAACGAATTCAGAAGCCGGGGAATATTTAATTCAACAAAGACCGAGTGGAATTTTTTTTTGTTTTGTTCTTTTAAAACTTCAGAAAATAGAAATGTGAGCCTGTTATGTGTGACAAGTAATAAAAACAGAGACTTTAGCATTCCTTTTATGCAGCGTGCTCTGGATTTAAGTAACAACCTTTCTACAAGGTTTTCTGACTAGATTGTCAAAACATGTATTATTTAAGCCTAATGATAATTCCCTGATGTAGGTAGTGAAAAATTAACGTTTCAATGTTAATTACCTGATCTGAGTCTGGAGGTCCACAGACCTGGATTATTTATTTATTCATTTATTGTTAGTTTGGGATCCCTGGGTTTATCACACAGACCTGGATTTAAAGTTCACCTCTGCCACTTACTGATTGTGTGACTTGAGGCGTGTTCCTTAACTCCTCTGAGCTCCAGAGTCATCTACAAAATGGCAATCAGGCCGGGCGCGGTGGCACGTGCCTGTAGTCCCAGCCACTCGGGAGGCTGAGGGGGGAGGATTGCTTGAGTCCAGGAGTTCTGGGCTGTAGTGCGCTATGCCGATCGGGTGTCTGCACTAAGTTCAGCATCAATATGGTGACCTCTCGGGAGCAGGGGACCACCAGGTTGCCTAAGGAGGGTGAACCAGTCCAGGACGGAAATGGAGCAGGTCAAAACTCCTGTGCTGATTGTAGTGGGATCGTGCCTGTGAATAGCAACTGCACTCCAGCCTGGGCAACATAGTGAGACCCTGTCTCTAAAAAAACAAGAAAACAAGTTAAAAAAAAATGGCGATCAGAATGCTTGCCCCACCCAGTCAGGTTTACCATAATCAGGTTTACCTTATAGTAAACCTGTAAGGTACTTAGCATGGTGTCTGCCATCTATGGGTGCTCAGTCAATGTTGTTGTTATTAATATTGAGAAATCCAAGTGACCAGGAGTGCTGGCTAACGCCTGTATTCCTAACACTTTGGAAGGTCTAGGTGGGTGGATCACCTGAGGTCGGGAGTTCGAGAGCAGCCTAGCCAATATGACGAAACCCCATTTGTACTACAAAAATTAGCCAGGCATAATGACATGTGCCTGTAGTCCCAGCAACTCGGGAGGCTGAGGCAGGAGAATCACTTGAACCCAGGAGGCAGAGGCTGTAGTGAGCTGAGATTGCGCCACTTCACTCAAGCCTAAGCAAAAGAGCGAAATTCTGTCTCAAAAACGACAAAAAAAAAAAAAAAAAAGAAATCCAAGTATATATTTTTAGAAAGAGCTCACTCGGCACTAAGAAAACGTAGGCTTTAATGATGATGAATTCAGTGATGCCTGTGGGTAGGACATGTAACTGTCAGTGCCTTCAAGAATTCTGTGGAGAAATATATTTAAACTCCTTCAGGATTCTCTTCTGATTTTCAGGACATAATCAGGATCAGCAAGCCTCCTGTTTAATTTAGTACCGACTGTGTTAGTCCATTCTCACACTACTATAAAGAGATACCTGAGGCTGGGTAATTTATAGAGAAAAGAGGTTTAATTGGCTCATAGTTCTGTGGGCTGTGCAGGAAGCATGGCACCATCTGCTGGGCTTCAGTCAGAGCGGAAGGGGAAGGGGAAGCCAGCACTTCACATGGCTGGAGCAGGAGGAAGAGAAGGGGAAAGTGCTACACACTTTTAAACAACCAGGTCTCATAAGAACTTAGCACCAAGGGGATGGTGCGATCAACCATTCGGGAGAAACCGCCCCATGAACAATCACCTCCCAGCAGGCTCCACCTCCAACACTGGGGGTGACAATTCCACATGACATTTGGGCCGACACAAATCCAAACCATATCACTGACCAAAAATTAGATAATCCTTTTTTTTTTTTTTGAAACAGAGTCTGGCTCTGTCACTAGGCTGGAGTGTAGTGGTACAATCTCGACTCACTGCAACCTCCGCCTCCCAGGTTCAAGTGATTCTCCTCTCAGCCTCCTGAATAGTTGGGACTACAAGCATGTGCCACCACGCCCTGCTAATTTTTGAATTTTTTTAATACAAAATATAAAAAAATGTAGAGATGGGGTTTCACCATATTGGTCAGACTGGTCTCAAACTCCCGACCTCAGGTGATCCGCCCACCTCAGCCTCCCAGAGTACTGTGATTGCAGGCGTAAGCCACTGCACCTGGCCAAGAATTAGATCATTCTTTATTCTTTTCCTTTCTAGACTTAACATCTTAGTTCCTTTAACCTTCCCTGTTGTCCCTGCCATCCTGCTGCCTCTACACTACTTTCTGTCCTAAAACTGATTTTGTTCATCATCCCTGGGTAGCATTTCTTAGAATGAGGGAATTTGATACTATTTTATTCAAACTTAAACACTTAAAAACAGTTTTTATTTTGCTGTGCACTCTGCCATTCTGTAGTACTTTTATATGTCATGCCACAATACCCACTAGGTTTGTTTTTAAAAAGGACCAGGGCTGTGTGCTATGGCTCATGCCTGTAATCTGGCATGTTTTGAGGCTGAGGCAGGAGGATCCTTGAGTTCAGGAGTTATGAGACCGACCTGGGCAACATGGCAAAACCCTGTGTCTACTAAACAAATTTTAAAAATTAGCCAGGTGTGGTGGTATGCACCTGTGATTCCAGCTACTCTGGATGTTGAGGTGGGAGAATCACTTGAGCCCAGGAGGTGGAGGTTGCAGTGAGCCATGATTGTGCCATTGCACTCCAAACTGGGTGACAGAGCAAGACCCTACCTTAAAATAAAGGGCAAGGGGGACCAGATCACCCATAGCTTCCCAAGAACTAAGTGAGAATGGTATCTTTCAACCATGACAGGAGCAGGGAATACACCAGAATCAAATGGAAGCCCAGACATTGTGTTATTTAATAATATCATCTCTAATAGTTCACCCTAAGCAGAAATAAACGTGCTCTGGTTTATCTACCACAAAGAGAACTTCATTCTGACATCACTAGGAGACTTTTACACAGCATGGAAGGCTGTTGATGTTTCTGTAAACATTCCAGAGCTATATTTAGTGAGAAATTGTCTACAAAAGTCAATTAGGAGGCTGGGTGTGATGGCTTGTGCCTGTAATCCCAGTACATTGGGAGGGCAAGGCAGGTGTAATTGCTTGAGGCCAGAAGTTCGAGGCCAGCCTGAGCAACATGGTGAAACCTCATCTCTACTAAAAATACAAAAATTAGCCAGGCATGGTGGTAGGCCCCTGTAAGCCCAGCTACTAGGGAGGCTGAGGCACAAGAATCACTTGGACCCGGGAGGTGGAGGCTGCAGTGAGCCAAGATCACACTACTGCACTCCATTCTGGGCAACAGAGTGAGACTCCATCTCAAAAAAAGAAAAGTCAGTTAGGAGAAGTTATCACTGGTAATCTGGACATTACCAAGCAGTGAACTTGAGGTGACAGCCTTAAACTCTGAAGGAGGTCACTGCCCTAACAACCCAACCTGATTTACTCCCACCTGACCATTTTCCACCTTAAGTTTCAGAATTGTCCAGGGGGCTGGGTTTTTTATTTATAAGTTGAGTCCATTTTCTTTCCATGCCTTTTGTTCATAGGTAGCTGTAGTTACGGGTTAGCTGTAGTTGTGGGTTCTCCCCCCACGGCCCTTCAGCAGGCTTTTGTTGACATTTTAATCTAATTCTGTTAACTGGATCTATTGTTTGCTCAGAGTCATGCCGACCTTTACACTGATCTCTATAGGGGTACTGATAGCCACCATTCTATCTCAGATTCTTAACACCTCCAATTCCCCAGCCAGATTGATGTTTTGGTTTGCTTACTTGCTGTTATGTGTTGTGAGGAAGTTGATCTTCCAGAGATTGGTAAATTTAGCCAAGGTTTCCAGTTGGAGAGTCATTTAGGGTGACTGTGTTGGTCTCTGCCCATCCTGTGAGGCACACACTGTTGGCTACCTTCGTGTAGCTTGTGCTTGGCTCGAAATAGAGTTGAATTGGCAGGGTATGGCAGGTTGCTTACTTCTGAATGGGTGTCTAAGAGTGAACTTGGGACCTGGCTCCCCCGGCTACTGGGTAAAATAGAGCCAAGCTTTGATCATTAGGATTCATTAACTTGGTATCGTTTTTACAATTTCTTTTTTCTTCTTTCTTTCTTTCTTTTTTTTTTTTTTTTTTGAGACAGAGTCTTGCTCTGTCACTCAAGCTGGAGTGCAGTGGTGTGATCTCAGCTCACTCCAACCTCTGCTTCCCAGGCTCAAGCGATTCTTCTGCCTCAGCCTCTTTAGTAGCTGGGATTATAGGTGTGTGCCACCAGGCCTGACTAATTTTTGTATTTTTAGTAGAGACAGGGTTTGCTGTGTTGGCCAGGCTGGTCTCAAACTCCTGGCCTCAAATGATCTGACCACTTCAGCCTCCCAAAATGCTGAATCACAGGCGTGAGCCACCGCTCCCAGCTTGACCATAAGGGTTCAGTCATATCATCCCTGTTGTCAAACTCTTCAGTCAAAATCCAGACACACAGTTGGCAGGGAGTTGGGGCTCACACTGGAAGAGTGGCATAGTCCGGTGGCACAGGGCACAGCACAGCCTGGCAATAGGCACACTGGAGAAAATACTCAGAAATCCAGGCAGGTGGCAGGAAGTATGCAGGAGGCTTCTCAGTGGGCAGCAAGGTCCCAGCTTCCAGGTTGGAGTCAGTGTCACAGTTCTAACCCCTGGAAGAGTAGTAGGCCAAGGAAGGGTGACCTTATTTTTGGAGGCAGCAGAG